AGCTTATTATTTATAATTAATTAATCACGGTTTTTTTGACTCACTGATATTATTATTTTTTGTTTTCAAATAACGTTCGATTGTAACAATTGATTTCTTTATTCTAGCGTTAGTTTGCTGTTTTGACGATACATTAAATCGATTAATTACAATTCATTTCTTTTTTGTAGCTTATTATTTATAATTAATTAATCACGGTTTTTTTGACTCACTGATATTATTATTTGTTTCAAATAACGTTCGATTGTAACAATTGATTTCTTTATTCTAGCGTTAGTTTGCTGTTTTGACGATACATTAAATCGATTAATTACAATTCATTTCTTTTTTGTAGCTTGTGGGGGGGGAAGAGAGAGAGACAGTCTACATGTCCTACACTACTATTCCTGCGCTATTCACTTATCTGCATTTTCTAAATGCACGGGCAACGCCGGGCGGGTACAGCTAGTATTAAATATAAGAAATAGCGCGCTGAATGTGACAATGCAATAGACATATAAATACGCCTTTTTCCGCCTACTTGAAATTTGAATTAGAGCCTCCAGAATGTGAACCATTTTAGTCGCACTCTAGAGACATCCTCATTATTTATATTTATAAAAGCATTTTTTTACATCTGGCTTATACTTTGAATTAACCATTCATTAGTTTACCGCAAGATGCATTTCTAAAACTTCATTAACTAGAATTTATAAATTTCATCAGTAACGTATTCCCATTTTCGGAACAAGATGAAAATAATTAAAGAATGAAAAATTCAAGTATTATTTTATACGAAAGTATTAGCAGCTAGTAAATTAAACAAGTTTCCTCCTCCCCTTATATTCTTTGTGTGGGGGGGGGGGATGTGCCTTTATATTTATTCTTAAATTGCAGATAATTCAGTTATTTCGTTTCTAAAGGCTTGTACAAAGAAGTTATGCAGATTCTTCTTGAATCTGTTTCTATTTAGTTCAGCTTTCGAACAGCGAACCCAAGTTTTCTGCACATATTATTTTTAACGCAAGGGTGAATGTTAAATTACCACTTACGTTACGCATTTCGTAAAAAGCGAAATGCTACGACATGAATAACGAGCGATAAATTATCGCTAACAGACATCAAAAGTCATACTAAATGACAATAAAAAGATAAATGAAACTGCTAGTTTAAAGTTCAACTTGACTTGAAAAACGTCCATAGAAAGCATTGCGATGAATGCGTGATGATTGTATGGATGGCTATGGGAATAATTTTCAATAATTCCATGAATCACTAAACCTGTCCGAAATGTTCAGTTAAAAAAAAAAAACATAAGAAATATTATAATTTCTGAAATAACATTATGCCTTCCCAATCATTTTTAACGCAAAACTAAAACTTAATCGATATCAACTTTTACATAAAAGTGACAGGCCAAATAATTTGTTTACAGTTGTTACAAATGATTTATCTCTACCTTAATTGAAAAAGATAGATATATAAATCAATAGATCATATTACTGAGACTTCAGACACGTATGACAGTTGATAGGTGTTTGCGTGCAAAAATGAAAGAAGGCTTTTTTTTTTTTTTTTTTTTTTTTTTTTTTTTTTCCTTTACTCCAGAACTGCTTCAAATATTTGGTATAACGCATAAGATTGTTACTTAAGATAACGAAAAAATATTTCCTGCTCCATTCAACTTTTTTTATACGATCTCCAGCTGTGAAGCCGTCGCTGTTGAAGCGTTCTAAGTGCTGTCAACAAAATAACTATCTTATACGAAAAAGAAATAATAATAAAAAATAAAATAAAAAAATAGCAAGATCCGCTCATCTTCACATGATAGAGAACTTCCAAATTGAAGGCTCAAGTTCCGCTGCAATCATTTCCGAGGACTTTGGGTACATTAAGTTGCTTTTTTTCTTTTTTTACTACTTTTACTTTTATTATGACACTACTTAAAGTGCTCCCAGAGACTTTTACCGCTTCGGTGCACATATCTTGATCAACAAAATATACTCGACAACACGTCAAATTTTAACTCAGTTTGCGCAAAACAATATTTCAACGGTAATTACAAACTTAGAATTTTATACAGTAACCTTCAGGACAGTATTTTAGATGTCCAAACTCCCATTTTCAGTACTGTCTCCACTAATTTACGTAATTTCAGATAGCTAAAGTTAGCTACTACGCTGAACGAAGAGTAAACGGTTAATTGCACAAATTAACCACTGCAAGCCGTAAAACCAACGAAATAGTACAATTTTCACAATCAAATCTAACAACAGGTTTTTGTGTTAAAAGAGGTACAGAACAAGATATATAGTTTGTTTATTTCGCGCCAGTGAAATTAGATGACATTATTTGATTCAAACACACCAGTCAACAGGAAGAACTCTCAAGTGAAAGCGCACTACTTTTTAAATACAAGCGTTGTGAGACATAGTAAATACGTACTTTCGAACGTAAATTTACTATGCTGTTCAGGAATTTGCCAAACGGGCGACATAAAACACCTATCATAACATTTCCTCCTTCTTCCGTTACGCACACCAGGAACTCGTGGATCTATTAATAAGCCTATCATTCAGTATTTAATTTCTCTCTCAAACGGGAGGCAAGTTTCTAAATTTCATTTGCAAGTTCAATACAATTCAGAAACACTGAGCTCAAGCATTCGTTAATCAAAAATATTCATCTCTCGGCTGGAAGATAGAATGCGCATGTTCGTTAGTATAAATAAGCATGCATTCTTTCTCGGGATTCACGCTAACACCTTGATACACCATGTCTCGTTTCACTGTATGTAAGTGTAAAATGCATACACAAAGGAATACATCCAAATCCTGACAACAAAAAATGCGTCCAACTGGCTGAGTGTATGAGCTTCACTCTTCACGCATATAATGCTGATTGCATTTAATTTGTTAATTGTGATTTTTTTGTTTTGTTTACTTGCCTCTCATACTGCTTAATTTCAGCAATTATTGAATCACTAACGTGCGGTTTCATATCCTGCCCCTTCGCGCCTTTTTTTAGCTTAAGAACCTGGACAACATAAACCGCCAATAGATTGAGAAGCTTATTTCTTACAGTTTTAACTATGTTATATATCAATTAAAAGAAGAACAATCTTGTGTTTATGTAAGAATGATGTATACATATATATATGGGGAATATACGCTTTAATTACAAAAGTCGTAAGATACTTTCTTATAGGGGCAGCGCACAACCGCTGTCTCAACGATTTCGCTTAGGCTCAAGTTCTACGTAATTGTAGAGGACCTTAAAGTGAATTAAGTGCCAAAAGAAAGCGGCTGTGATAGAACGAGGTGAAATCGTGCACTCGAGCAATAGAATTATAGTTATCAGAAATCTATCCCCAGAACAAGAATTAACACTACTTAAGAAAAATCATGTTAATAAATCATAAGGCTGACTGATTGTTTCTGACAGACTGAGCAAATGTCACTTGTAGCCCATAACTGGTTACATCTGTAAGAAAATTTCACGTTCCTGCGGGGATTATGTGCGCAAATGTCACTAGTGCGGAACATGTGCGCCAAGTGTCGCATAACCCTTACTTATTATCCCGTCGACCGTGAAAGCTGGCTACCATCGAAATATGAAAGTTGGCAGATATCCCACCAAAGCTGCGCTAATCGTTTCTACGGAGTTCTGAAGGAACTCATACCTCTTTATTAGGTAAGCAAACAGTCTTCGACCCATTTCATTTCTGCGCTTCGTAAAAAGGATTTTGTTACACTATCAGATTTGACTGGAAGCTCTGGTTAGAACGCTATGAGTACAAACGTCCCGCAAATAATTGTTCCAATCTATTACTGTTTTGTCGACCATATCCAGCTGTTTTCTCCCTATTCAACAAATGTAAATGAACAAGAGTGTAGTCTCAAATATTGTTTTACTGCCCTTCAACCATGCTTCTTTTCGAATGGATATTTTGTTGTTACAATTTTTCACACTGCATCGCCATTGTTTGTGCGTTTTAAAATAAATTACTATGTACTGTCCATTAATACACGCTTTTTTTGATGGAAGGATTCCATACTTTGAAAATAGTCTTTATGCTTGGCAAAAGTTTCACAATAACACATATGCAGCGAACTTTTGTAACGTTAAAAAATTATTAATCTATGAATTTTATCGGGAAATTTTCATCGGCTTATCCATTCCATAAGAAAAATATTTAATACTGTCATTTTTGCAACTACCAATTTTAATTCTTTTACGAAGAAAAAGTACCCAAATGATATAAATTATTTTCTGCAACGACGTTATCGGTAAGAAATTAGGTAATAAAATAACTTTAAACATTCTAAGATTTTAACTAAAATTCTACTGATTTCGAGGGAAAACTGACACAGGTTAGAGATGGTTTAACCACTAACCAAAATAAGCACATGGTTAGGGCATCAAGGTAAAGGAGGCACCATAAAATAAATTGTGTTTAGGGAGTCAAAGAAAGCGGCACCACAAAAATTTCTTATTGCCGATTTTGCAATGGAAAGTATGGTGCAGCTAAATCAAAACCGAAAGAGAAGAAATGGAGGAAAAACAAGCGTGATACTGGTAAGCATATGTAGGAGCAACAACGTTGTTTAAATGCTTCGGGTCTTTTAAAGTCTTAATCCAGCCCTGACACAGGTCCGTCTTTTTCAAAAGTTTAAAATTTTCCTCAAGAAGGACACTATGGTTTCTTTTTGAGCAAATATTTCTTGCTCCTAAAGGTCTTCACTCCCCTTCGCGTCTTAAAACAAAATGTTTTGCTCCTGATGAGGAAGGATCATTTTCAGTCCGCTCTCGAAATCGATAATTTTCTTTTAAAAAATCTACACCGAAGTTTGATTTTTTGGGGGAGAAGAGGTTAATTTCATATATTTCATTACAGTAAGTTATCGATTGTTTATAATTTAGCTAGGCATTTACTCCCCCCGTTTTAGGCCCCTCCGTAAGTTCAGCTTTTATCTTAAAGTAAACAGATGAACATTATTTCTAAAGAGAAAATCACTTACCACGTGATTGGAGCATGAAACGGCATATAATGAGGTTGACCTCTGAGGACAAATAACATCCGAATTCTTTCCAGTGTCTCTAGGAAGAGAAGAACACCATTTTTCAATTGTGTTCGGAATTACTTTTGGGGGTTTCGGTAAACTGTAGAAGATATTATGATTTGTTTTTGACTGCTTAAGCGTTTCTTCCAACTGCTCCCGTTGTTTCAATGATGAAGAATGTTCTTTAGATGACACATCAATTGGAACATCATTAATAACACATGTCGTTCTCACGAGAGGACTGTCTTCGAGTTCGATCGTTTCAGTTGCTATAGCATATGCCTGAGACCCAATGCTTTCAAAATTATTCGTTAAACATTCAGTCATATCCGAGGTTTCCAGCACAGAATTTGCTACATTTAAAATTTCAGATGTTACTGTTTTATGCGATTTCTCTGAAAGTAATTTTTCTGTAGTATTGCAAACAGGAACGGATTCAGTTATTTTTTTGTCTTCAAATGCGGGAGGCGGAGGAGTTATGTGATTCATGTCATTATTGATAGCTATTAAATCATAATTCCCGTTATCATTTTCTTTCATCATGGTAAATGAATCAACAACATCTTCGAAAATTTCCGGGGTTTCGCATGATACGGGTTCAATTCCGCTATCTGGAGACATGGATATTAGCTTTAAACTTTTACTTGGAAGAGATAAACGGCTTGATTCTCCATAATGAGAGCTTTGAAAATTACCATTCTTAAAGTTGATGGTTTCGAAAGAATCATCGGGTTTACTTGGACTTAAACTACACTCTGAAGAGGGACTCAAACTATCCACAGAATTAAGCTCTCTCGATAAGCTCTTATCGAGTTCAAGTACTAGATTGTTTGCCCATATGGATAAAAGATTGACATCGCCAATAGGAGGTCTAGGGAACATGCACGGAATATCAGTTTCATCTTGAGAGGAAGGCGGCAAAGTTTCAGAATTCGAACGCCGTCGAGTATTGCGATTAAAACGTCTTTTTTCAAAAAGCTCATCTGTAGCTGAATATTCTACATTTTCATTCGAAAGTTTACCATTGCACTGTCCTTTTAAAGAATATGTTACATCCATATCTTTGGATGTTTCTGAATATGATCGGGGTTTGCATTCCGTGCTTGAAGAAACCGTGCCGTTTCCCAACAACAGCAAATCTTTTGAAGTTTCTGGAAATGATATAGACGGGTGCATTTTCCATAATCTTCTCCGTGTATTTGGAGAATAAGTTGAATTTCCGTTTTGTCCCAGAATACCAGGCCTTAAGCTAGAAAAAAATGAAGTTCTTCCTGACGAATGGTTGTTCAAAGTATTGCAGTTTGGTGAAGAATTTTTGAAATCTAGGAGATTGCCATCATGACACACACGAGTTACGGTATTCTGAGGAACACTGTTAGTTCGTTTATAATCATAGTTCTTTTCCTTAGGGTAATCCAATGTCAAGAAAGCTCGAGGAGGAGGCAATAAAATTTCTGAAGTATTTTCGCAGGAAGAAGACGGATTAGAAATCTCAGTCTCTTCATGTTGCTCTAGTTCCTTCACTGCCTTGACAATTTCTTCCTAAAAAATTTCAAAATATTTTCATTAACCAAAGGGGATGGAAAGGCCATCTAAATTATATGAATATTGACAGAATTTAATCAGAAAGAATTACAATGCAAAATGATACACGTAAATACATTTTGAATCGGCGTCTAAACTCTGAAAACAGAGCATAACTCACAGATTATTTTACCTTGGGAAAAATATATCAAACACTTAGAACTTACCTATACATGAAATCGCATGCCTTAATATTTAATATCAATATAACATGAGAGAAAAGCAGGTAAGAAAACGTTAATCGTGAAAAACGGTAAAAAAATTTAGAAAACTTTATGCAGATCCAGTAAAATGAATGAATTGCAGATACTGTAATATGAATTAAGACAGGCATTTTTCAATGAAATAATAGTTACATAATTCAAATACAGCTGATGACAAAAAGCTCTGGAAAATCATTACATACTGCGAGTCCTAGGAAAATATTTTACCGCACGTTAGCACTCGCAAAATTCATAAGGTGGAGATTTCATTAAGCGTAGCTAAATGATGATGCTATTTAAAACCACAGCTAATGAGATGTACTGGTTATAAGTTTCAAAGGTTGTTGTTACCAGGGGTAAAACCCCTGCCCCCCCCGGGCCGAAACAAATTCAGCCATCAGGACATAGCAAGGGCTAACCCGTCAAATAATAACGGAAAACTGCGAGCCAGCCATGTTCCATCAAATTATCCAATCCAATCAAATCCCTATTGCTTTTCTATTTTTATTAATTATCATCATAATTTCTTCAGCTATTTGTTTAAATTTATCGCCAGTTTTCAAAATCCCCATTTATATCCAACTGGTGTCCCTGAACTATGTCTCTAGTAAAATTACAAGATTCAAGGAAGTGGCAATTATTAACTTTTACTTTACAAAATTGACAGTTTTCATTTTCTTGAACACCAAGTTTCTTGAAATATGCAGGGAATCGTCCGTGACCAGTAATAATTTGGTTCATATCTATATTATTAAGTATCTGTTTCCCTTTATCAATTTTCAAAAATTGATATAACCATTATTTTTTCCTGACGATTCCCAATTTTCTTTCCATTCCACGAATATCTCCTTTTGCATAATATTTAACAACTTTCTTTTCGAATACAACATTTCAGTATAAGTTTCAAAGGTTTGCATAGTTAATTATATAGTTTGTATTGCTAGGTACCAACCATTACATGTGTTCAAAGATTTTGGTTTAAACAGCAAAATGATTACGACTGAGAGCAAGAACTTTGATAACAAATAAGTTTAAAATTATAGCTGAGTACATACAACAGTAGTTTCTTTCGGCCTTATATGTAATCAGTGTCATAAAAGACATTGAAAAAATTAATAATGATTATATATATATCTATATATAAACTTAATAAAAGAACTATTAACCAATCCTTCTTTTCTTATATTGGAATCTTAAAAATATATTTTCCTTCCCTTTCAGTTACATACTTTTCTTTTTAAAAGCTGAATTCTTGGTTTTACAGCAAATAAAAGTTAACTTTAAAAAATTTATGATATTTTCATGCAGCTTCTTTTCCTTCCCAAATTTAAATTTCAGAAAGGGAAAATTTTCTCTTCACCTTCGAGAAGGATTCCATTATAGGGCCCACCACCGATCAGTAAAGTCGCTGAACACTGGTAGTTCGGTTCGAATCCCGCAAATGGGCTGGCTGCATGGGCGTTTTCGTGGTTTTCCCCATGTGTAACGTGTATACGAGCCAGCTTCCCTTAGAAATTCCACGAAGGCATCCCTTCCCTTCGGCAGGCAACCCTCGAGGCTTTGCCGTAATCACTTCTAATGCCCGCAAAAATATTTCTGCATATTGTTTACCGGGATTCGAATTACCGATGTTCTGCAATTTTCACCAACCCTACCAATTTACTGGGGTTAAATTTTTTTCAAAGGAGTTTAGAAGATTTTGGCTATTCAACGACGTTTTGCGACTTTTGAAAATTTCATATTTCCAAATTTTGGCACAGAGTTTTCTTTGTGTGGTCAAAAACTTCACATTTAATAATTTTTTTTGGATTAACTTTATTCAGCAGCTGATTTTACTCTTCTTGAATATATAAAATCAGCTCTCTCGTTCCCCCCTTTCTTCAAACTAGTTTGAAGCTTTTCATACAAGGAACGTTGACTGATTAAAACGTTTTTCTTCACAAAATATTTGGAAGGCTGCGTTCACACAACTGATGCTCTGTACAGTCTACGAATATAAATACGAAATAAGTTAATGAAACTTTTCCATTAGAAGATAATTAATATTGGCAGATTATCGTTTTCGTATTGCAAAACAAAATAGTGATGATACCTTTATCGTAAATTCATAAAATTATGCCAACGATCATGTACTTATTCGCTGTTTAATTTTCACGTTTTAAATGCTCAGTTCCAAGCTGACAGCTGCTTGTTGTGACTTCTCAACATAAAAGGTTTGGTTTGGTTTATTTAATTATGGTAAAACAAACTAGGGCTATTTGCCTAAGGGGAGGGCTGCCTTCGCGGAGGGCTTTCTAAGGAAAACTGACTCGTATACACGTTACACATGAGGAAAACCACGAAAACGCCCATGCAGCCAGCCTGTTTGCGGGATTCGAACCTCGGACTGAACTACCAATGTTCAGCGACGTTACCGCTCGGCCCGCTGGTGGGCCCCTCTCAAGATGAAAGACCAGACAATAGGCCAGTACCTTTCGGAATAGAGTAGCATAGCTTAGTTGAAAATCTCAGAACTTTTAACATTCTATTCCCAAATACACGTACAACTGCACAGTAAAGCTCATTTTCATTTGAAAAATAAAAGCGTGTTTATGTTAAACATGTTTTTATATAATTTCAATTTTATGTTTTAATTTTTTCTTGATTACTTAATTTCAGACTCACAATTCGAGCAAAAATTAATATGATTGTTTAGTGTCAGCGAAGCGTTGAACAGCGTACAGTGTGACAAGACAGCTAAAAGCTAGGTATTTAATTGAGAAATTAAAGCCTGCAAATACATTTTGCTGTAATACATACATAGTTAATATTTTAGAGCAGGGAAAAAAACGGAAATTTTAGATCCTACAACAAACAAACAGCGATTACAGTGTATTGCAAAAATAGAAGCTTAAGTTATAAAATTCCTCTTAGCAAGCTATGCTTTAAATTACCCATGAAAGGCATGCATTTTTGTCTTAAGCCATTATTGGACGTGTCTAAGTATCATAATCGAGCTTCAACAAGCTCTAGCTATCCATTGCCAAGCAACAGCTGACAGACTGTGTATGCTTATCTGCCAACCAAAAAGGCCAGCGGTGATTATCATCTAGATAAATTCTTTACACTTCATTAATTCAACTGTAAAAAGCATGTACAAGTATATATTTATTAAAGTATAATAAAGAAAAGAAAAAAAAAGCAACTTCTGTTTTAGTTTTTAATGCAAAAATAAATAAAACACAAAAATATTTCTTCATATAGCGTTTTTGATATGGAACCTAAAAAAATAAGCACCACAATTTAATTTCCCTTCCTTTACACATTTTTTTTAAACCCACCACACTAGGGCTATTTGCCTAAGGGGAGGGATGCCTTCGCGGAGGACTTTCTAAGGAAAACTGACTCGTATACACGTTACACATGAGGAAAACCACGAAAACGCCCATGCAGCCAGCCTGTTTGCGGGATTCGAACCTCGGACTGAACTACCAATGTTCAGCGACGTTACCGCTCGGCCGCTGGTGGGCCCCTCTCAAGATAAAAGACCAGACAATAGGCCAGTACCTTTCGGAATAGAGTAGCATAGCGTAGTTGAAAATCTTAGAACTTTTAACATTCTATTCCCAACTACACGTACAACTGCACAGTAAAGCTCATTTTCATTTGAAAAATAAAAGCGTGTTTATGTTAAACATGGTGTTATATAATTTCAATTTTTATGTTTTAATTTTTCCTTGATTACTTAATTTCAGACTCACAATTCGAGCAAAAATTAATACGATTGTTTAGTGTCAGCGAAGCGTTGAACAGCGTACAGTGTGACAAGACAGCTAAAAGCGAGGTATTTATAATTGAGAAATTAAAGCCTGCAAATACATTTTGCTGTAATACATACATAGTTAATATTTTAGAGCAGGGAAAAAAACGGAAATTTTAGATCCTACAAACAAAGCTACTAAGAAGAAAATCCAAGAATTTAGGGAAAAACACATTTAAAAGTTTTGCGTGTGTTCACACTCCATTGAATATATAAATATGCATTTATTAGAATACAAAACCGATTCAAATTACAAGAAGACACTAGACCTTTGAAGGTGTTAATAACAGTGACGATAACAGAAGAAAATTCAGAACTTAAAGTTGCAGCAGAATTTAAAGTTGACCACCAGGTACAATATTTTTTCTAAGTACCAACAACAAAAATAACATGAGAGAGTCAGCCGCATTAATTTGTATTTCAACTTGAATGCATTTAACGAGTGAAATGAAGTCAAAATTTCTGCAAAAGGCACATTTTTTCCTCTTAACATTCCCCCTACCAAATTTAAACTATTACTTTCGGTTGACTATCACTGCCGTCTTCTAATTTTATCAAAATGACTTTGAAAACCTATTAGTGAGAGTGGAAATTCTTCTGAAATAGGTTTAAATGACTAAAGTTCTAGAAAGAGACATTATTAACGTACTTAAACTGGAAATATTCATCCATCTATGCTGATTTCTTAACCAAGTTTTCAAACAAATAAATTTGAAAGATTCTGTATTAAAAGGTTCACCAATAATGGTTTCTTAAACATGCAAATTGTTTCTGCACTATAAGGACACATGCTGAAGAAAATAACTTTAATGATCTTGATAAAGAAGAATAGCGTTTGTTGAGGATAATTAGATGCACTAAAAAAGGTAAGAAATTCATGGATTTTTTAAATAAAAGTTTTGAAATGATAAATGCTGTAAAACATTTTCGTAATTTAACATTATTTACCGCTCTAT